TAGAAAAGCTGACAACTATAAAACCCTTGTCAGAAATATGCTGCCATCGTATCAAAAGATGGGCTGTAATATGTCTCTTAAGATACGTTTCCTACACTCACACCTGGACTTTTTTCCTGACAATTGCGGAGCCGTAAGTGATGAGCACGGCGAACGTTTTCATCAGGATATTTCGACAATGGAAAAAAGGTACCAGGGAAAGTGGAATCCTTCCATGCTTGCAGACTACTGTTGGACTCTTGGTAGAGATGCTCCAGAAACGATCCATAAAAGATCAGCAAAAAGACAGCGCATGTAGTGATTCTTATAAGTATATGAATCTTGTTACTTTTTTAATATATCCTTAAAAATAAAAAGTTTTTTTTCTAAACCGCAACTAATTTTTTTATTTCATTGTCATTTTTGGATTCAGCGCCCCAAAATTAACAAAGAAGTGCACTTTTCCCACAAGATACAATTAAAAAACTTAAATTTGTTGTCCAATGTAATTTTGAAGAGCAACTAGCATGTTGATTGCACAAGTTTTAATAAATGAGTTGATATTGTTTAAGGAAAGATGCTCTCAAAAAACCTGTGTTGTGTGGTTGTGTGGCCCGTGATCTACTGCTCATTTTCCTCCTACCTATTTTGTCCTCGAATGTACCGAATTCCAATGACTCTATTCCGTCGATTTCGTATTTTTCGGTTCGGCAACAGTGGGCGCCAGTTTGTGTCGCGACGCGCTGTTTACCGCTCTCACGCCGATCAATAAAAATGATAATTTTATTGATAAACGTGGAAATTATTACTGATTTGTCAATAGCATAACTTGTTGAGAAAGCAATTACGGTATGGATGGAATTCAATTCATTGTGATCACGAGTTGATTCGAGCGAGGTTATGCCCTAGGTTATCCCTGGGTCAGACACTTTTACGACCAAAAAAGATGCGCTTAAAATCGTTTGGTCGAACACATACGTCATTGCTGTCAAAATCTGTTCCTTTTGGGCTTATAAGTTTGCAGGTACCTGTTGTTGTTGAAATGTCCTTATTATCAAAAGAAAAGATTGGAGACGTTTGGCCTACCACAATATGGGCCTCCATCAAAAAGATATTTTCGTCGTAGACCATGATGGAGAATAGTAATGCAAGAACATTCATTTAGTCTAAAAATGAAGCATTGGCATTGGCTTTAAACAATATGTACTCGATATCCACAAAAATACATCAGAGGGTTCCAAAATTTACAATTTTGGGTGAAAACGCATGTAAAAACTAAAAAGTACGGCTCGGATTTTTTTATCAGCGTACACTTTTATGATAGCAAATATGCTTACAAGTTCTTATCGAAATTCAATAAATAACTCTGGGTATTGCATTTTATATGTCACTTAGAATATAAGCGCTACTTTATGAAGTCACACATCAAGTACCAAATCCGCTTAAACGATATTGGTAAATATCAACGATGACCGACGCTGAACTTGAATCAATCTTAAGTTTTGTATTTGAATTTCCTAACTGTACCGCTGTTGTCTTACTAACGCGAATTGGTGATCATCAGAAATCCACGTTTCCATTGATCGTAGAATTATTATGTTAAGAGTTTGTATATTATGACAATAGCTCAGCAGTTATTTAAATTGAGCAGTACATTGCGAAATCGTGAAATTGTATGTTCAACAAGAGATTTTCGGACTAGGTATTTTATCGATTTATTTATAAACTATGCGATTGTTCCACAAATAAAATGCATAAAATGCATGACGAGTTTCGCAATATTTTTGTAGTATCATCATACTGTTTACTGCTCTTAGGCTCTTTCCACGATACATAAACAACATTAAGCTAAATATATATTCTTGAATTATGGATGCGAATTCTGGCGAATTTTTGTTTTGACTTTTGTCAGGACAAGGTGGTTATACTCTTTGTGTTTTCTTACACTTCTTAGTGTTGTTAAATGGTAGAAAAGCAGAAGCACACTATAAAAACGGATTTGTAGCAACATACGATGTCAACGCACCATGTGTGGTTGACTGAAACGATTGTTTTCTGATATCTTGACTGATAAATGTGCGCTAAGTAATCAACAAACTATTTCCTTAATCAGATCGTGCCGGTTAGATATTATTAATATTGTATCTGGCCTCGTTGGGACACTTATCTTTATTGGTTCAGTTTGCTTGATTATTTATACAAGAAAGCGCCTGTGTCATGCATTACTTTTTCTAAATTGGCTAATAATTAAAAATGCTTCATTTGTGTACGCGTGGCTGATATTGTTCGGTTTAATTCAGTTGTGCATTAGTTACAACAGC